CCACCTCACTTCGGCCCTCAGTGTTAAACCCAGAAAAGGGACACAGATTCGACTTAAGCCATTTTTTTTATTAAATACCACAATTGTACAACTTTCCAGACATTGCAGTGTTGCAGGAGAAGCAAGGATAAATATCTGTTAATCCATAAATACCTACAGATTTATTTTTCTCAGCTGGAGAAAAATACCCAGGTGGATTTTTAGGGCACTTTGGGGTGAACTAGAATTCAAGTCCTTCCCTTCCACGCGGTTATGTCAAGAGTTAGACCAGGGGTAGGCAACCTTGGCCCTTTTATGACTCGTGGACTTCAACTCCCAGAATTCCTGAGCCAGCCTGGCTCTGCTTGGAAACCTCTTCCTTTCCCCTCAGCATGCCTAGCTGAGGAATTCTGGGAGTTGAAGTCCACAAGCAGGGATCTTCAAACTTGGCCCTTTGATGACTTGTGGACTTCAACTCCCAGAATTCCTGAGCCAGCCATGCTGAGGGAAAGGGAGAGTTTCCAAACTGAGCCATGCTGGCTCAGGAATTCTGGGAGTTGAAGTCCACGAGTCATAAAAGAGCCAAGGTTCCCCACCCCTGGGTTAGACTGACCTTCCCCCGGAGCCACTTACTGGGCACAATGGGAGTTGTAGTCCATTCAAACCGTAGCAGCCCTTGTCCATCAATCTGCCACTTGGGGACCCAGAGTGAGGCTGCTGTTGGTCACTCGCACACCATACCAGCCATCCCAGAATTGCGTGTCTTGGCCTCCGTGACTAAATAAGATGTGACGGACCCCAGGAGGGTAGTTGTGAAACGTGTACGACACCTGAGCAGGAGAAAGAAGGTGAGGAGCAGGTGAAAAGTGGCATTTTGTCCAATTCCGTCACCAGATTCGATTGTAGAATTACAGAGAGGATTTTTACAAACTGCCAGCTCTAACCCTGGTGGTGGGTTCTAAAAGCACCACGCTGTCCATGTTACACACGGCAAGCAGCCTTATCCGCAAGACACTATTATACTTCCTAAGTAAAATCATTATTTTTGTGAGGCGGGCAGCATGTTAAGTGTAACAATAAATAAAATAAAAAAACTGTGGGGTCCTTGGTGCTCTCTGAGCTGGGTTGTTTTCTTGCAGACGTTTCATGACCCAGCAAGGTGATATCAATCATCAGAGCTAGAAGGGATAATAAACAGACATCAAACCTCCCTCCTCCTAGCACTGATGTTGTTGCTTAGTAGGGTAATGAAATGTTTGCACAAAAAAAAAACCTCAAGCTCAGAGAGCACCAAAAACCCCACAGTCATCCTCCTCCTCTCCACAAACACCACTCCTAGCCCTGATGATGTTCCCTAGGTGGGTCATGAAACGTCTGCCAGAAAACCACCAAGCTCAGAGAGCACTAAGGACCCCCACAGTGCTCCTCCTCTCACTTCTAGCCCTGATGATGTTACCTAGTTGGGTCATGAAACATCTGCAAGAAAACCACCAAGCCCAGAGAGCACCAAGGACCCCCACAGTCCTTTTCCTCCTCCCCATCTTTCTCCTCCACCCCCCATCTCCTCCTCTCTGCATATTCCCCTTCCTTCTAGCACTGATGATGTTCCCTAGCTGGGTCATGAAACATCTGCAAGAAAACAATCCAACTCAGAAAGCACCAAGGACCTCTCATTTCAACCCTGAGCTATAAATATTTTCCTTTATTGGCAAATAAAGAACCCTTTGGCCCCTCAACCGAAGCCACCAGCTGAATCTTGGGGGTGGGAACCCACCTTGCGCCATTCTGCATCACTCCACTGTTCGATCTCCACCTTTTCCGGCAGAAACTCCTGGAGAACAATATAGTCTTTGGACAGGAGCCTCACGCAGATTTGGTACTGGCAGCCGCAGTCGAAACGTGCGGCGTACCTGGGGACAGACGGGGCCGAAGGAGAGAATGTCAGCTCTTAAAGGAGATCGGTGAGAACACAGGTGGCCCTCAATTTACGACTTACAACCATAACTGAATCCAAAACTTCAGTTGCTAAGAGAGACAAGTTGTTCAAGATGGATTATTCTGGCTGGTGGAGTCCAGGAGGGGGGGGGCTTCTCTGCTGTGGCTCCTGCCCTCTGGAACATCTTACCCCCCCCCCGAATGTGAGGTTGGCCCCAACCCTATCTCTTCATAAGGGCCCCAATGGGGGATCAGCACAATGGAGGTGATTGATATAATAATAATAATAGTAATAGTAGTAATAGTAATAGTAGTAGTAGTAGTAGTAGTAGTAGTAGTAGTAGTAATACTAATACTAATACTACTACTAATAATAAATCATCCAGTCTGCGACGATATCTGTAATACCATCATACATCCATATCTGCCTATCCCAGGTCCTTGGTAAGGACAAAAATGTCAAATCCAGTCTGAACATCTGGCTAACTGTGTGATGATCAATAATAACGCTGACTTCCGGTGGCAGGCGACCTCGTCGGACGCAGCTGCTGCTGCCTCCCGCCTGTTTCTGCGTAAAAGCCGTTTTGACAGCTAGCATCAGCTGTCAAACGGCTTGATACCCTTCCCCTGGGCATAAGGGGATAGGTGAGCTGCCCGGGGTAGGAGTTGAGTTCCCGAGTCGTCCCATGTGGACGATGTAGGTGAGAACTCCTCCGGAGCCCCGTGGTTTCTCCGCGATCCAGGACGC